TAACTTTCACATAACTATCAAAATTGCACTGAAAATGATTTGCTTGTATAATGTGTATAATGAGAATATATTTAATGAAGGCTGTCAAATAAACAGACAATCACAGAGGGACCTTGCTCACAGTCCCTAGAAACCTAAATCTGGATTGTAGAAAATATATAAGATGAAGCTGAAATGATGTTCTGTGACATACAGCCTGAGAAGAGTCGGGTCTGCAGTGAGCACATCAGTGTCATAGGAGTGTTATCATTGTTTTTATTTATTGCTACTATCGCTCTCTTTACAGAATGGAAGACAATATTTAAAATACATTTGTCACCAACATAAGATTGTTCAGACACGCTGTGCTGTAGTTTACAAATCTGACAAGGTACAATGTTTCTTTAATTACACAGCATAAATATAAAGAGCACCTGTCATAAGGAAAATATGGAAGCTGCTATTGCTGCTCTTCACTGAAAATTCTATTTGCCTGGCTGTCTCTGATTTTAATACCTGGAGATGGAACAGGCACACAGCCTGTAAAGTCAGACTAAAGTCGGAACACATAATCTACATACCGTACTTATTCTGGGACAGTGGTTGAAATAACAATGAAGCCATAGACAGCCGGGCAACAGGTACAGTTAGGGATATACCGATATACCGACACCAGTATACTGGGCATTTTCATGAGCACTCGTAAAAAAAAAAACCAATACTAAGCGCTGGTGCTTTCAATCTCTAAATACATTTGGCTGCCGTGAGGTCCTGCGCTTCCTGGGGACCTTGCACAGCCTTGTGGGAACCTTGCAGCGGCAGTTTACAGTGCCAGCAGCACATTTCCTCCTCTGCAGAAAATTGGTACTCTCCCGGAGATCCGAACTTATGAGAGAGGGCACCTCACTGAAAATAAACTGGTCTATCTACCGTATCCGTGACCCGTACTGCATAGCAGAAAAAGAAATGGGCTGGCTAAAAGGGTTAGCCACACCAAGAGGTCACTTAATGGGACGGGACAGACTATTGGACTATTTTTGTACAATAAAACGCATTTAATATATACCTTGTCTGTCCCGTCCCATTAAGTGACCTCTTGGTGTGGCTAACCCTTTTAGCCAACCTACATCTCCTCCTCCTCCTTTCTGCCGCTCGAACCCCCCAGAGTACCTAGCTTCAAATTATTCTGCACTGCTGTATAATGTATTGCTGGGATTTGTGGTCCTCTATAGCTGGTTGCCATTTGACATTGCTGTATAATGTATCATTGGGATTTGTAGTCCCTGTACAGCTTGGAGTCAGAACTACCAGGGTTACATCTGCGATCGGACCCTGGTGCTTCACCACTGTCCTAAAATCATTAGTCTCAGTGTCTCCAGATCACTGATCTGTTCAGCGGCGCGTTCCTCCTCACAGCCGCTGCTGAGTCAGTGACAGCCAGCAGCGGCGGTAGAGGAGGCTGGGGCTCGGCGGCGGTGGTAGTGGAGGAAGAGACCGGGCCCGGGAGAGGTGGAGGCAGGTCCTGGTGGTGGTGGAGGACCGTGTTCTATCATGTTGTCGGTCTGTGACTGAACCAGACTGACATGCGCGCAAGCGCAGTGTGGGTCCAGGTCCGTGACTTTGACGGACCAACGCATGTGCAGTATGGGAGCTGGTCCGTGAATTTCACAGACCAATGCAGTTTTCACATCAGCGGCTCCAGGTCCATAATTCTTATGGACTAATTATGAAATGAGCTTGATGGAGCAAAATATGATTACCCATAAAAATATATTTGTGTTAAATCTGATATAGTTTGGCTGCAATTATATTTATATTTTTTTTAACACAAACACACATACGGTGTATACTCGAGTATATACTGTATGTATATCTATTAGACATGTACATTCAGATTCGGACGAACCTGCAAATCAACGAAATTCAGTTTATTCGGCGGTTTGTCCGAATCCGAAATAACAAATGTATTATATGCCCAAATATACGAAAACTACATTCGGGCGTACATAAATTAGTTTTCAGATTGGCTGCCGGCGTGTTCTGTGCATGCTCGCTGCCATCTTGGAGGAGGCGCGCTTGACGTCACATAACGTTGACATCACACGCTGAACAAGCAGTGGCCATATTGGCCAGCTGCACATTTTGCGCAGGTGCGCCACCATCTTTGAGTATATATTGGTACACACCAAGATGCCATGCTGCCATCTTGGTGTATACCAAAAAATACTCAAAGACGGCGGCGCGCCTGCGCAGAATGCGCCGGCAGCCGATAAGACTGCTCGTTCTGCAGTTACAGTGTAGAGTTTCGGAATCGGAGGCTTGTTGCCTCTGAATCCAAACCGCATAAAAAAAAAAGTTTTCTTTGACCAAACACATTAAATTTGTTTTAGTTTTCATTTGTTTAGTCAGAACACACATTTTTTTGCCGTGCACATGTCTAATATCTATGTTTTTGCTGTCTCCCTATCTAACTATATTTAACCAAAAGTGTATAATGTGTAAAACAAATATATTTATGTGCAATCATATTTTGTGTTGGCATTATGACTTAATAATTAGTCCGTCAGAGTTACGGACCTGGAGCCACAAAACCACTGATGTTAAACTGCGTTGGACCGTGACATTTACAGACCCTGCCTTGCCCTGTGAGATTCACAGACCTGGTCCCACAGTGCGCTTGTGCGCATGTCAGTCCACTTCAGATACAGGTCCGATGAAATGATAGAATATCGGGCCAGGCAGCAGTGGAGGAGGCGGGGCCCGGGCCCAGCGACAACCGTGGAGGAGGCTAGGGCCGGTAGTGGAGGAGGCTGACGGCACATCGGGGCTGACAGGTAAGAGGTGTGCAGGGGTGTGATCAGTCCACCTGAGACCCTGCAGAGCTCACCATAGAGTCTATAATGGGCTGTGTGGGATCTCAGGTGGGCTATGCGGGGGCCCATACAAAATTTTGCTATGGGCCCCTGTGATTTCTAGTTTTGTGTGCACACAAAATAAAATGGCGCAGACCTGCATTCGGAAAGGCGCTTACCGGCATAATGTGCGCATGTTGTAGGTTATGGCAGGGGCTGGACCAGGATTTATTGGTGCAGACCATGGCTCATGACATAAAGATGGTGGATCAATCAATAGTATGGACTAGTATTCCATCACTGCGATTGTATTGATTAGTATGCCATAGCTGCAATCACACTGATTAGTATACCATTGCTGCACTTGTATTGATTAGTATGTAATTTCGGCAATTATATTGATTAGTATGCCATCACTGCAATCACATTGATTAGTATGACATTGCTGCAATCGTATTGATTAGTATGCCATTGCCGCAATTGTATTGATTAGTATGCCATTTCTACAATTGTATTGATCAGTATGCTATCACTGCAATTATATTGATTAGTATACCATCACTGCGATCATATTGATTAGTATGCTATCGTGCAATCGCATTGAGTAGTATGCCATTACTGCAATCATATTGATTAGTATGGCATTGCTGCAATTGTATTGATTAGTATGTCATTTCTGCAATCATATTGATTACTATGCCATTGCTGCAATCACATTGATTAGTAAGCCATCACTGCAATCGTATTGATTAGTATGCCATCACTGCAATTAGATTGATAAACATGCTATTGCTGCAATTGTACTGATTGGCATGTCATTTCTGCAATCATCGTTATTAGTATGCCATCGCTTCAGAGCAACTTTAAATTCAATGTCCAAAGTAATAAGCTGCATATGCTGTTCTATGCTGAACAGATCCATTGTACATCAAAGCAGAGCCCACCATTAATATGCAGGAGGATCAATGTATCTGGGGTGTAACTGCACTGATATAACCCAAACCTCATTTTCGTGCCATAAAAAAGTACTTACCAAAACGTGCATAGGAGCGGCAGACATCTCAACTCTCCCGGAAGCTCGTGGAGTCTCCCGATATTAGATAGCGGCTCCCGGCCGCCCGGGAGAGAAACATTTTCTCCCGGAAAGGTTTAATCTGCTCTATCAAGCAGATTAAACCTTTCCCTGCAATCTTTTTTTTTCTTCTTACGGGGTTCTCTTTAACATATCAGGCTCAGCATCAAGGCCTTTTATGCCATGTATCAAAGTTCCCGCACTGTTCCGACCATCTCAAGAAAAATAATTGCTATTAAATACCTCACTTTATGTGTATTAAATTGTAAATAAGGCATTGGTTTTACCAACTGCAGAAATTATAATGCTACAATTCAGCATGTCCTACAGGCCCTAATTTTAGGTGGTTTTAAACGTACATCATTATGTCTGTGTTGAGATAAATGTGAATAAACGTACTCCTTTTTGATAAACACTGTGCAGTAACTTTATTTGCCCTTATTAAAGGCCTATGATAAACATTACTATTTCTTTATACTGCAGATTTATGGGTTTGATCTACATGATGTCTGGAAAGAACTATACAAAGGTCTCAGAATTCTTTCTTCTAGGACTTGGAAACCTTCACGATTTAAATGTTGTATTCTTTATAGTCTTCCTAATCATCTTTGTATTCACCATTACAGGAAATCTTGTGATCATTGTATTAGTATCCATCACCCCAGCCCTTCAGTCCCCCATGTATTATCTCCTAGGTCATCTCTCATTGTCAGACCTTTTGATTTCCACCAACATTCTTCCAAACTTGCTTGGCAGTCTTCTACTTGGGAGGGAAGTAATTACGTACAGTGGCTGCATCACACAATTTTATTTTTTCAGTGCTACAACTGTTACAGAATGTTTCCTCCTCTCGGTCATGTCCTATGATCGGTACTTGGCCATCTGTAACCCTTTGAGATATTCCAGTATCATGGACATGATGTTTTGTGTCAATCTTTCGGCTTGGCCATGGCTGTCGGGTTTTACTCTGAATCTTTTAGTCGTTCTGCCTGTATCAGAGTTTGACTTTTGTGCTGATAATGTCATTGATCATTTCTACTGTGACCTCTACCCTCTTCAGAAGCTCTCTTGCTCGGACACCTTTTTTGTTGAACTGGAAGTTATTGTCTTTTCCATGCCAATATTTATTGTTCCATGTGGTTTTATCGTAGTGACGTACATCTACATCTTCCATACTGTTTTCAGCATACCATCTACAACAGGCAAGCAAAAGGCATTTTCAACCTGCAGTTCTCACCTTCTTGTGGTGGGTACATTTTACGGGACACTGATAGCTAAATACATGATACCCTCTAATGGATACTCTTTGCTGCTCATTAAGATTGTATCTTTACTTCACACTGTGTTTACTCCTTTATTTAACCCTATTATATATAGTCTGAGGAACCAAGATATCAGGACAGCACTTCAAAAGCTTCCCTTTTAATTATAGAAACAGTTCTGATAAAATGATATATTATCTGTGCTGAGTTCTCAGGTCTGCACATCCACTGTTGCCATTATAAGGGATCTCCACCATCTACTTATTTTATGTTATGGACATCTAACAGGAGGAACTGAGGCCCACAGAGATGGACATGAATGGAGTCAGGAGCCATAGCAGGGGGATCTGACCTGCTCACCAGGCTCCATCGATAAATAAAAAATCCGGCCTTTTATTGCCAACATGGAAAGATTTGTAGGAATTGTAGCCATGTAGCTGCTGGAACATTATAATTAAAGCAGAATGTTTTTTGCCCAATTTTATCTATTTTTATGAGCATTTTACCAAGTTCAAACTCATGTTTTTTTAAATGTATTTAATATATATATAGATACAGTGTGTGTATATACTTTGTATATATATACATACATACTGTACTGTGTGAGGGAGATAAAGATTTGATCCCCTGCAGATTTTGTAAGTTTGCCCACAAAGAACTGAAAGCTCTATAATTTTTATCATAGGTGTATTTTAAATGATAGAGACAGAATATCAACAAAAAAATCCAGAAAAAACACATGATACAAATGTTATAAATTGAGTTGCAGTTCAGCGAGTAAAATATGTTTTTTGATCCCCTACCAACCAACAATAATTCTGGCTCCTCCCACAGACTGGTATGTGGTACACAGATTAGTCCTGTAACTTTAAGAAGGTGCTCCTAACGACAACTCGTTATGTATATAAAAGACACCTGTCCACAGAATCTCTTTCTTCCATTCAAACCTCACCACCATGGGCAAGACCAAAGAGCTATCTGAGGACGCCAGGGACAAGATTGTAGACCTGCACAAGGCTGGAATGGGCTACAAGACTATCAGCAAGAAGCTTGGTGAGAAGGAAACAACTGTTGGAGCGATTATTTACAAGTGAAAGGAATACAAAATAACCATCAATCGCCCTCGGTCTGGAGCTCCATGAACCAAAATTGAGCTCTTTGGCATTAACTGGACTCGCCGTGTTTGGAGGAGGAAAAATGCTGACTATGACCCTAAGAACACCATCCCAACAGTCCAGCACAGAGGTGGAAACATTATGCTTTGGGGCTATTTCTCTGCTAAAGGTACAGGCCGACTTTGCTGCATTGAGGGGGCCAATGGACGGGGCCATGTATTGTAAAATCTTGGATGAGAACCTCCTTCCCTCAGCCAGAACACTGAAGATGGGTCATGGATGGGTCTTTCAGCATGACAATGACCCAAAACATACCGCCAAGGCAACAAAACAGTGGCTCAAGAAGAAGCACATTGAGGTTATGGAGTGGCCTAGCCAGTCTCCAGACCTTAATCCCATAGAAAATGTATAAAGAGAGCTGAAACTTCAAGTTGCCAAGCGACAGCCAAGAAACCTTAAGGATTTAGAGAAGATCTGTAAAGGGGCCAAAATTCCTCCTGAGATGTGTGCAAACCTGGTAACTAACCACAAGAAACGTCTTACCTCTGTGCTTGCCAATAGTGATGAGCCGAACACCCCCGTGTTCGGTTCTAACTCGAACTTTCGAACATGGATAAAGTTCTAACTCGAACTTAGAACTCAATGCAAGTCTATGGGGGTAGAACTCAGAAATTTAAATGTCAGATTTTTTCTGGATTTTTGGTTGATATTCTGCCTCTATCATTTACAATACACCTATGATAAAAATGATAGACCTTTCATTTCTTTGTAAGTGGGCAAACTTACAGAATCTGCAGGGGATAAAATTATTATTTACCTCACTGTATGTGTGTGTGTGTGTGTGTGTGTGTGTATATATATAAAATCTTTTTACGATTAAATGTTTAATCGAGAGTCCTGACTCTTAGTGGTATGAGTGTTTTATGGCCACTTGTTGGAGCTGAGGAGCATAGGAAATAATGTATTTCCTATGCTCCATCTAGTGGCCATAATGTGGTATCGCATTACTTCACATTTGACCTGAAAGGAAAATTTATTTTTGGCTATAGGTGGGTATACATCTCTGCCTATACCCACCTACAGCCACATGCAGTCAATCATTGACTTATATGGGAGGCTGCATGTGGCACCTGTGGCCAAATAGCAGGGGGGGCAGGAATAAATAGGCATTACGTTGGGTGGGTGCGGGCACACGTGTGCAAGAGCTCTAATGTCACACCGGTGATGGTTTTTTGGACCCTTTACTCTTTTATTGCAGGGGAGTCCAGGAATAAAATATTTTAAAGCCAATCTTTCATCAAGTACACAAAATCCGATCTTCTACCCTTCAGGTCAGTTAAAGGGGAACTTCAGCCAATTATTCCTGACAAAAAAAAGGTCCAGTGCCAGGCTGCCGGCACAATAGCGTCCCATAGGACTGGGGTGTACCCATATTGCAGGAGCAGCGTCACATACAAGTCTATGGAACATTAGCGCACAGACATGGGCAGCTCAGTGCTCTGTTAGAATCCTGGACCTGTGATAAATCTGGACCCGCACGTCACTTCCAGGGGCAAGCTCAGAGCCGCTCAAATGGCTGATCGGGTCCAGAAATTTCACAGGCTATGTTCCTGTATTGCACATGTGTGGGAAAGCCAGTGGGTCCAGAAAATTCACAGTCTGGAGTTTGGCTACAATGTATCACTGACACTGAGAGATATTGTAGAGATTTTCCATCCTCTGTTTTAGTGGGAGGAGACACAGCAATCAGTCACTGGCTTATTAGCCAATCAGCTAGCTTCTACCTGTCCGGGGACCGGTTGCGTCCCGCTCCACCCACAGACCGACAGATTCAAGAGCCAATAAAATACCCACGACTCCGAAGTATACTGACCAATCAGAAATCTACGTTCCGCAGAGAGTGGTCGTACCAAATATTGCACCCACGTGCAGTGACCAGAGCGGTCAGAAACAATTGCGCCCATTTGGCGCCGATTTTCCACAGTATTGCGCCTACTTAGCGCCGATTTTCCACAGTATTGCGCCTACTTAGCGCCGATTGCTGCATTTCTGGACACCGAGTAAAGCAGATCTCAGCAGTGCCCAGATCGCCGGTGCCTCTACAGTGATTGGTTCATAGACTACCTAGTGCCTACTTCTTATTAGCTCTCGCGTCTGCCAATCTTTGGTGGGCGGGCACTGTAGCTGAGTGGGCGAAGGGAATGCGGAGAACAACAACACGAACTCACGAGTTGATTGGTTGGCAGCAGCGGAAACTTGTGGCCACGCCTCCAGCTAGTAGTAAAAACATATGGAACAAATGATGTGCCAATAGTTCTCCGCGTGGCCACGCCCATGCTCTCCAGCCTATGTTAATAGCTTGTACTCATCTCTGTCAAGCATAAGCCCAGGGGTGTGGGGTACAGTGAAGATTTTGTGGGGTACAAGGGGGAGTGTTGGGGTACATTATGGCGGTAGGGATGGTAGAGTAAGGAAAGTAATGGGGTGAAGTACAGTATCTGTATGTAAACAGTGGCGTTCGGGGCGTGGTAAAGGAGGAGCGTAGGACATGCCCATCATACGCATTGAAGTGACATGGCTCGGGGAGGTGCCGTACTAGATCCTACCAGTCGTATTTCCGCACCAGCCCCGCCCATCTCCCCTGGGCGGTCACATGGGCCGGCCATCCTCATTCATCGCGAGACTCCCGCTGACAGCAGGAGGCCGGCTCCGCACACACCGGAGGAGGGTAAGGGGTGTGAAGGGAGGTAGGTGCAGGGAGGCAATTGGTGGCTGCAGGGATAGTAGGGATGCCGGTGACTCATATGGTAACCCTGTGGCACTACAAGATACAGTATGGCCTGCCAGCTGTGACCAAACCCCATGTACTCCACTTCTGTATGCCAGTCATTCCCATCCTTCCATAGGTAACCTCAGCTTGCATCGCTGCTGATCACTGTACCTGCTCATGTTACCATGGTAACCAGTCAGCTTCTAGCTTCAGTTTGTTCAGTTGAGCTTTAAAAATGAAAGCGAGAAGCTGATTGGTTGCCATGGGCTCCAGTTGTGATCATTTCCCCTCTGCGTACTCCGGTGCGGCGCAATGCTCTGCAGAGCACAGAGTTGAATTAAATGTCATTTGGTGCCATTTCAGTACCGTTAGGGAAACAGTAAACATGCAGCATGTCCTGATGTCACTTGACACAGGCATGCGTGTGTTGTATGGTGCATGCCATGCATGTGAACTAACCCTTAGGTTATATGTGCCATGTATATATGTCTATATTTATAAGCAGGGCCCTTCACGCGGCCAATATATGTGAACATTCTTTAGATTTTTCTATCACCGCTTCTTGGATGTAACAGGGTGTCTGAAAGCAGCCTATGAGCCCCGCCCACTCATGCGTGTTGCACGTCGCGCACAAGCGGGAAACTGTCAAAATTTAAAACGGGCAGCAATGCCTGTTTGCATGGACGTTTTGCTGGTCACCCGACCAGCTTTCTCAATTTAGAATGCATTGAGAAAAGCTAGTCGGATGACATGCGAAATGTCATCAAGAAAAACACAGCAAGTCCAGTTGCCTTGATTGATATCTTTATATCTTATCCTTCTTTATCCTTTGCTAAAGGAGGAGAAGTCCAGTACAAATGGTCTCTTCCTTTAAAGGATAAAACAAAGTCTAATTATCCTCTTTTACCTCCACCTGAATGAACCCGCTCTCCTCCTCCGCAGATACATACTTACCTCTCTCTGACAGCTGTGGTTTCGCTGTTGGTTTACATCCGGCACCACAAATCTTAACTGTCCTGACCGCACCTGTACATCTAGTGTCCCATAGACTGTCCCCAGGCCGTGCTGCAATGCACAGGCGCGGCCAGGGCAGTGAAGACTTCCAGCTCTGGATGTAAACACACAGTAGAACTGTGGTCATCAGATCGAGGTAAGTATGCATATGCGGAGGGGGTTAGGTGGGGTCAGGGGAACGGGGCAAAAAAGATAAGTGCGCTCTTTTTTGCACTACGCGTACCCTTTAACAGTAGAAGTTATTTTTCAATAGACGTCCCAATCTTGGGCAACTGTTGACCAACGTCTCTGTGCTTGCTTCCATTTCTGCTTTCTTTGTACTGTCATTGCGACGTCCTAATGTCATCTTACTTTGTTTGTTGATTAGGGGCGACCTGTCGAATGACTTCATCATGGCTGATCCCATTCTGATAAGGTATTGTATACCCCGGAGATGTTCTTCTCCCCATTTCTCATCTTTATTAGACTTTTATTGCTGTTTATACCTTGTTTTAAATCCTTGGTTCTCAACGGGTGGGCCATGACCCAAAAGTGGGTTGGGACCCCGTGTTCAGTGGGTCGCCGTGTGCCTTCCACTTTTCTAGGTGAGAGGCTGCTCAGCCTTCCCCTAGCGCAGTGCCGTCAGTTCTCGCGCCATAGTCATTCAAAAGATGCTGCCCGGTACTGAGTGTCAGCTTGAGGTGGGATGGGATGGAGCTATGGCCGCGAGGGAGCTCCAACCATATGTGCATTGCTTACAGCTCCCTCACGTGTCCTGTAGAGGTGCCTGGACCGGAGTGACGTCACATTCTGGCTCCTGGAACCCCTACAGGGCACGCAAGGGAGTTGTACATGCAATGTGCATTTGGATGGAGCTCCGTCACAGCACAGCAGCCCACACTGGACCCCAGGCTGAGGATCCACTCCAGTTCTCGTAAGGTAGGAAGACTGGGTGGATCTTAAAAAAAAAAAAGTGTGTGTGTGAGATTGTGTCTGTGGTTGTGTGTGTGTATCAGTGTTTTTGAGGGCCCGTCCACACTAGTACAGTGCGTTAATCACGCAGTCCCGTGCGATTAACACTCTGTACCATACAAAATCGCACCTACGGAGAATCCTGGTGTGGGAGGTGTGTTGCATTGCCATTCTTTTGAATGGTGCCCCAAACACACCTCCCATGCACAGTTCCATGGCCCGCAGCGCGCTACCGCAATGCCATGCGTTCCAGTGCAGTGTATTTGAATGTATTTTTAAGATTCAACTCCTGAGTCCTGACTTAATGACCAGGGACAAATGTGGGTCCTGAGGTTACGCAGGTTGAGCTCAATGAGCTAGGAAGTAGGGATGCACCAATACCGGTTTATTCGGTATCGAGTATGAGTACCGATATTCTTTTGTTGGTACTTGCCAATACCGATACCGGAAGTCCCATTAAGGAAGCCAGGCGGCGTGTAATGACTCTCCACCTGGCTTCCTGACTAACCATGTGCGGATGGAGCATGTTGCCGGCTTCCCGGCCAATCCAGAAGCCGGCTTTTCCGGCCAATACTTCAGCTTCCGATATCAGGAAGCCGGGCAGCGAGTCATTACACGCTGCCCGGCTTCCTGATATCGGAAGCTGAAGTATCGGGCTAGGCATCGGAGCATTTGGGCAAGTACGAGTTCTGTGTTTTTCTTGTTTCCAGCAAGGAGTCGGTCCAGACAATCACTATTCCTAAAGCAACCAGCCTCGGCCTCAGCCTCATTGGAGGTAACAGCAGAACTGAGGAAGCACTAATCCACATTAAGGACATAATCCCGGGTGGAGACTGTCACAAGGTAAGAATCGTGTCTTTTTTTAATATATCCAAATACTTGATATACATGTGCATGTGCTGTTCTACTTGCCAAAGGATTTGTAATTCCATTTAGCCAGTCTTGTGATCCAAGCACTTTAACCACACGGCACAGCCAGGTCCAGTTGTCTCTGTGACTATGCTGTAATTGAGCAATACAGCCGGGTTTAGGACCTCCTTCAGCCTGTGATTAGACAATGAAGGAACCGCAAAATGTTGATGAGGTCATTTCTGTGCGTTCCCCTCCTGTAAGCAAATTCCCTGTAAGCCCCGCCTCCTCTCCCTCTCCATTGTAAATGCTGCTTTATGGGATTGTAGGAGGCCGGTATCAAAACGATTCGATTGAGATCTGGGGAATTTGTAGGCAACACCTCAAACTCATTGTTGGGTCCCTAAGGCCATTCTTGAAGCATTTTTAGTGCATCACAGTTTGTTGCACATGGGGCTGCGTAGCTGCAGACCAGTCAGGGTGCCCATGCTGACCCGTGTCCCTACAGTCGTCTTACCATCCTACCACCTCTCATAGGACCTGTACTGTTCCTCCATTGCCCCATCACTCCCTACAACTGTCCCTCAACTACCCTCCCGCTCAGCCTCCTGTGACCGATCAGGAGAGCGGCAGTGTGGGGGCAAAGACAACGGTCACAGGAGGCCGGGCTGGCGCTTTGGGGGAGGAGTCAGCTGTAAGAGGAGGTAGAGCTCTCCTCCCCACACCGCTCGCTCAGCCTCCTGTGACCGATCAGGAGAGCGGCAGTGTGGGGGCAGAGACAACGGTCACAGGAGGCCGGGCTGGCGCTGTGGGGGAGGAGTCAGCTGTAAGAGGAGGTAGAGCTCCCCGCACGGCTCGCTCTGCCTCCTGTGACAGCCGACCCAGGATGGAGAGCGAGATACAAGCAGTCAGTGATCAGTGAGGTGAGTGTTTGTGAATAATTGAGGACAGAGTATGTGTAATATATCCTCAATTATGAATGAATGGGCAGTGATCTACTTCCTCCTGTCCATTCATGATTATGGATATAGTAAGCACACAATGTTCTCATGTTATGAATGAACAGGAACACTCGGTATAAGGGATTCCTGTTCATTTATAACAGGGGCTGCAGAATAAGAGATTGAGGACTCTGTGTTCTCAATCTCTTTTTCTTTTTTAAAAAGGAAATATCAGGAGTGTGTTTAGACCCCCAATATTTCCCCAAAGCCCCTAAAAGTAAACTAAAAATATTAACCATAAAGAAATAAATAAAATATTAAAATGTTTATAAAAAAATAAAAATAAAAGATTTGAAAAAGTTAGGAAAAAAACATTTTCGGCTTGACATTTTTTTTTTCATTTCGGTTTCGTTTCGGATTTGACATTTTTATTTCGGTGCACCTCTACAGTTCACTAAAGGAAAAGTGTAATCTCCATTATAATATGAAATGCAGATAATTCTCGTTTTACAAAGGCGTAGGTGTAAACGTATCTTTGATGTTGATCGCAGCTATACGTGTGCCTCGGAATGGTTCCTGAAAGCACTCTCAGTAAACAATATAACCCGTTTGATGAGCTACAACTGAGCACACTGTCAGGGTCATCTAGTACTATGGAGATAAATGAACCCCGCTTGTGAACCAGCTGTAACCCTTCTTCAGGTTGCAATTGAATCTTCTTCAGTTAATGTGCCTCAAGGGCAGCAGCGATAGCACCATCTACAATTAGCACATGTGGCTTTATGTACAGAGCAACAGCAATGGGTTCTTTCAAGAGCCTTTTCTTTATAATAACTGACTGCATGGTTATTAAAACCCAGTTGAACTTTCTGCTTCAAAGTGAAATATGCCTTAATGTCTTACTGCTTGTTTTCTTTCCAACACAGCCACAGCCTGAGTAGAAAGGCCTATCCTCCTACTGGCATCTACAGAGTGAGATCCTTGCTCTTTGTGAGGAAGCAGTGGTCTCTCTGCAGAGGTCTGACATGCCCCCTATTGAATCAGACTTATAGCTCTGCAACTGGCAAAGCTCATGCTTTCTGCCGATTGGAGCGCTCTAGCTCTGATTCAGTAGAGGATGTGTTGAACCTCTGCTTCCCTTTAATGCGCATTGTGCCTGTTAAAGAGCCCTGCTGCCCGGCTGCCACAATATGGCACACAGTGGAATGGGGACAGCACTCAGCACACACACACGCACTGCCCTATGCGTGCGTTTATTCACATGCAGATAGCGGGGCGGGTTTTAATTTTAATATTTTCTACTTTTTTCCGCTTTTTTTCTCACTTAACTTTATTGCTATCACACAGGGGATAACAAGCCCCCGTGTGATAGCATTCGGAGGTGACGGGTTCTGTTTATGAGCCTGCCCTCCAATACAGAAGATCCAGCACATGTGTTCTGTACAGCTCCACTTGTGACAGTTGACACAGGAGAGCTGCGAACACTCCGACTCCGCTCTGCTGCCCACTCTCTATCCTGAAGGCATTTGCCGGGGTCCCCCAGAAGGGCAGGGGCCCCAGAAAACCACTTCGCGGCAGGATTTGACTGGTGGGGTGTGGCGAGACGGCGGACAAGCAAGTAGATTACAAGTGATCTGAACGGCTGTATAGTCGCTCAAGTCACCTGTATACAATGGCTCCCCACGTCTACATTTAGCTCTGCTGACCTGAAGCAGGGCTAAATATAGAAGAAGAAAAACTGCCCGACACCGGGAACTGCATGTCCCCGGTGTTGGGCGATAGGAATTCCACTCCCCTGGGTTGCCACTATGAATACTAATGAATAGGGAGTGGAGAGCTGAGAGTTACACAAAGTGCATGTAGTGCACAGAGGTGGCAATTTCCATGAGGAGATGAAGATGAATGCTAACAAAAATGTAAGTTTCTGTGTTCATATACAGCAACTGCATATGTCTGCTTCATGTGGACTCGGTGTACATTGCTTCCATATGTTTTTAAAAATACCTCCGAAAATGTGGAAATGAAAACAGAGCAGTGTCATTTCTCACCACTAGAGGTCACCATCAGACCATTATTGTCCCATATTCATGTTGAATTACACAGTGTGAGAATCGGTCTGCAGATTAGAACTGCACAAAACCAGATATTACCAGAATGATCGTCCACCTATAACGGAAACATCAGAACTGATCCCGCTCATAACTAATACTCCGTTCTGATGAACTCGTGAAATTTGAAAATCTCCCAAAACCTGACAACCATTCACTGTCCAAAACTAACAAGAAAACAAAACTTTGGCTACTGCTGGTTGTTCAGGTCAAATGACACCCAGCATCATTCAGCCCACTTCCTGTGAACCAAGTACACTCTTGGACTGAGGGTGTGTCATCATGCTGAACTGGGCTTACAGGACTTCTGTGCAGAACGGTGTGGGCACAGTTCTCTACAGGAGTAAGGAATGGCAATGTTGAAGGGAAGAATAAGAGGACCCCACGCATCAAGTGACCAAAAAGGAGCTGTAAAAAAGATATGCATGCTAAATTTGTGGGGGTAAGGCACACAAGGGGCGGGGGCAAGAAGGGGCCCTAGAGTTAGCCTTTAATTGTTACATAGTTAAAGGAGAACTATGAGGTGAGTGCTTCTCACTCACCTCATAGTTCTAGCCGACCTGTGACAATGAGACTGTCACAGGTCGGCTCAATAGATCGGGAGGTGAGCGAACACATACCGGCGTTCGCTCACCTCTCGATCCTGTCACGGCTCTCTGCCGTGACAGGGAGGGGCTGGATTCCCCCCTCCCGCTCCGGTCCGCCAGCGCTGACTGGAGGAACGGACGAGGGAGGGGGGCGGGTACCGCTGGCTCTGCCTCTAGATAGGCAGAGCCAGCTGTCACTCACGCAGCTGGGCGGATCTCGACATCGATGTCAGGATCTGCTCCGGCTGCGGCGTCTCAGTATACTGCGAGCTGCAGCTCGCGGTATACTGAGTTTAGTGTAACGGGAGGACGCTAGTTTGTGTCCTCCTGTTACCGTAAGGAGAACTATGGGGAAAAGCCTTGACCCCATAGTTCTTTAAATAGTTAGGTTGAAAAAAGACCATGTCCATCGAGTTCAAGCATAATTGGTCTATGCTTGTATATTAAAATGAACCTTTACCCCCTTTGACTAAAACTCACATCAGCATTCATCTCTGCATGCTGATATGAAATCATCTTACATTCATTAGTTAAACAAACATGTTTTTATTTGACCTACAATTACTATTTTTCCACTTCCCGGTCCTCTTTGGCATTAGTGATATAATCTGTGTCCAAGCGCTGCATCCTGGGAAGGTTACATCAGCAGAGCATTGCTGGGAAATCTCATCTGTAATCTCACGAGACCTCAGGGAAAGGCATCTTCCTCTCCTGAGATGATGCGCATGGTCACATGTCCTAGTCACATGTGCCAGTGTTCCAGGAAGTAAAGGGAGATGGATTAATCTGCCCTTAGTAAAAATGGGCACTGTGAGGAGAATGGGGAGGAAAATAAAAAAAAAGGTATGCAAAGAATACAAAGCCGGCAATTATCTAGAAGTATCTGTTTGTAGAGTGTCATTACTGAACATTTCTGAAGGTTTGTTTGTTGTCATGTCAAAGATAAAGTTCCTCTTTAAAGGTAATTAAGTCCACAGCTCTGCTACATAGCACTGCCCTGTCTGGCAGGGCAGGAGATGAGCTGCTTTGATATTGCTGCCTGTGATTGGACAATGAAGGGAGAAGCAGAAGACTGATGAGCTCATTTCTCTGCTCTCTCCTTCTATCGCCATGCTCCTTAGCTCATTACAGCACAACTAATTGGCTCATTGTTCTCGCTCTCCCAGTCTGAGATTGTGTTTTCCGACCCAGACACTTACTAAGCCAGTGAGGGAAAAATATTAATTAGACTGGATTCCAGAATTGAAATGGTTTCATTTATTTTTGGTCACTAGCTCTCATCCGCTCTCTCTTTTTATGTTTTTATATTGGATCTTGCTGGGAGAAATATCGAAGGTGTCACCCAGTGGGATCTGTATGGAGCACAAACTTGGAAGTATTGATTTTAAATGGCTTATTATGGCAATGATCTCCAGCAATCTTATGTAATGTGTCTCCAGTCAATGACTCTCTCCTGGAGTATGTCCCTAGTCTCAAACTCCTTTAGTATGTCTGCAGTCTCTGACCGTCTCCTGTAGTATGTCTGCAGTCTCTGACCATCCTCTATAATATGTCTGCAGTCTCTGACCATCTTCTATAATATCTCTGCAGTCTCTGACCATCTTCTATAATATGTCTGCAGTCTCTGGCCATCCTCTATAATATGTCTGCAGTCTCTGACTATCCTCTTCTATAATATGTCTGCAGTCTCTGACCATCTTCTATAATATCTCTGCAGTCTCTGACCATCTTCTATAATATGTCTGCAGTCTCTGACTATCCTCTATAATATGTCTGCAGTCTCTGACCATCCTCTATAATATGTCTGCAGTCTCTGGCCATGTCCTGTAGTGTGTCTGCAGTCTGGCCATCTCCTGTTCCATGTTTGCAGTCTCTGACCATCTCCTGTAGTATGTCTGCAGTCTCTGGCCATCTACTGTACAGTGTATGCAGTCTCTGACCACCTCCCTCTAGCTTCCTGTATCATTACATTTACTGAATATCCTGTGTGGCCCTTTGGTGAGGTGAGGAGCCACACTTGAGGTCCCCTATTTCAGGTAACACCCTGATTTAGACCAATACTCCAGGTGTTTAGAGATGCCTTTGCTTTGCGCAGTGACTTCTCATCCTCAGGAGAGGACCTGACTTTCCTCCCAGTGTCAGGTTAGTTTCTGTAATATTATCACCCTGCGTCTTCCTGCATATTGATTAGCAGATGAGGCGTTACAAAGGTAGAAATATATTTCCGTGGCGTATATACACGTCTTGTCACGTTTTCGCAGCTCCGGGCGGCGCTAACAAGCTCATATTTTCACCGGTTTAATCAGGTCAATGACTGTGGGTGACATAACTGGTGGTTATCATGATGAACTATATTCCCGGAGTATACTTGCTGCTTTACCCTAGATTTCCACTTCATACAGAATGCACCCATATGGTTACCTGGTTCCGGGGATTATATGAATACAACGTACCATTGGGGTCAGCAGTGAATGGGAGATGGTCTGCGTAGTCACAGTGATCACATTGGATTACTTGTTTCATGATAACAAGGTTGACTTACTGACTAGTGTTGCTTAGAAGTGAAAATGGTATTTCCGATTTGGGTAAACACTGGTTGAATCACCTTCTTGATCCACCTTATTAAAGTTGAACTGCAGGCTGATATAAAAAAAATAAAATGAATGCAGCGCTGTATTTATTTATACATTTGGAATGTATTTTTTGAATACACTGAATTTGACTTGGTATCAGCCTCTTGTGATCTCAGACTGAGAGAGGGAGAAGCAGTACACGGAGCCAATCAGTTGTGCTGCAGTATGAGGAACGTGCAGTGGCGACTTCACCAAAGATGTCCATTCATCCTCTGGCAGCCCCCAATGGTGACTTTAACATAGTTGTCCTTTTATCCTCTGGCAGCCCCCAATGGTGACTTCACCATAGTTGTCCTTTTATCCTCTGGCAGCCCCCAATGGTGACTTCACCATAGTTGTCCTTTTATCCTCTGGCAGCCCCCAATGGTGACTTCACCATAGTTGTCCTTTAATCCTCCAGCAGCCCCCACTGGTGACTTCACCATAGTTGTCCGTTCATCCTTCAGCAGCCCCCAATGGTGACTTCATAGTTGTCCATTCATCCTAGGGTAGGTCTTATTTTCAGGGAAACAGGGTAGTTGTCCTTTTATGCTCCAGCAGCCCCCAATGGTGACTACACTATAGTTGTCCTTTTATCCTCTGGCAGCCCCCAATGGTGACTTCACCAAAGTTGTCCTTTCATCCTCCAGTAGCTCCCAATGGTGACTTCATAGTTGTCTGTCCTTTTATCCTCTGGCAGCCCTCAATGGTGACTTCACCATAGTTGTCCGTTCATTCTCCAGCAGCTCCCAATGGTGACTTCACCACAGTTGTCTGTTCATCCTCCGGCAGCCCCCAGTGGTAACTTCACCATAGTTGTCTGTTCATCCTCCGGCAGCCCCCAGTGGCGAATTCACCATAGTTGTCTGTTCATCCTCCGGCAGCCCCCAGTGGCGAATTCACCATAGTTGTCTGTTCATCCTCCGGCAGCCCCCAGTGGCGAATTCACCATAGTTGTCTGTTCATCCTCCGGCAGCCCCCAGTGGCGAATTCACCATAGTTGTCTGTTCATCCTCCGGCAGCCCCCAGTGGCGAATTCACCATAGTTGTCTGTTCATCCTCCGGCAGCCCCCAGTGGCGAATTCACCATAGTTGTCTGTTCATCCTCCGGCAGCCCCCAGTGGCGAATTCACCATAGTTGTCTGTTCATCCTCCGGCAGCCCCCAGTGGCGAATTCACCATAGTTGTCTGTTCATCCTCCGGCAGCCCCCAGTGGCGAATTCACCATAGTTGTCTGTTCATCCTCCGGCAGCCCCCAGTGGCGAATTCACCATAGTTGTCTGTTCATCCTCCGGCAGCCCCCAGTGGCGAATTCACCATAGTTGTCTGTTCATCCTCCGGCAGCCCCCAGTGGTAACTTCACCATAGTTGTCTGTTCATCCTCCGGCAGCCCCCAGTTGTGACTTCACCATAGTTTGTCCTTTCATCCTCCGGCAGCCCCCAGTGGTGACTTCACCATAGTTGTCCGTTCATCCTCCGGCAGCCCCAGGTGGTGACTTCACCATAGTTGTCTGTTCATCCTCCGGCAGCCCCAGTGGTAACTTGACCATAGTTGTCTGTTCATCCTCCAGCAGCTCCCAATGGTGACTTCACCATAGTTGTCCATTCATCCTCCGTCAGCCCCCAGTGGTGACTTCACCATAGTTGTCCGTTCATCCTCCGGCAGCCCCCAGTGGTGACTTCCCCATAGTTGTCCGTTCATCCTCTGGCAGCCCCCAGTGGTGACTTCACCATAGTTGTCCGTTCATCCTCTGGCAGCCCCCAGTGGTGACTTCACCATAGTTGTCTGTTCATCCTCCGGCAGCCCCCAGTGGTGACTTCACCATAGTTGTCCGTTCATCCTCCGGCAGCCCCCAGTGGTGACTTCACCATAGTTGTCCGTTCATCCTCCGGCAGCCCCCAGTGGTGACTTCACCATAGTTGTCCGTTCATCCTCCGGCAGCCCCCAGTGGTGACTTCACCATAGTTGTCCGTTCATCCTCCGGCAGCCCCCAGTGGTGACTTCACCATAGTTGTCTGTTCATCCTCCGGCAGCCCCCAGTGGTGACTTCACCATAGTTGTCTGTTCATCCTCCGGCAGCCCCCAGTGGTGACTTCACCATAGTTGTCCGTTCATCCTCCGGCAGCCCCCAGTGGTGACTTCACCATAGTTGTCTGTTCATCCTCCGGCAGCCCCAGTGGTAACTTCACCATAGTTGTCTGTTCATCCTCCAGCAGCTCCCAATGGTGACTTCACCATAGTTGCCCATTCATCCTCCGGCAGCCCCCAGTGGTGACTTCACCATAGTTGTCCGTTCATCCTCCGGCAGCCCCCAGTGGTGACTTCACCATAGTTGTTCGTTCATCCTCCACATACACATCAATTTGACTTTTTTAGGTTTTCAAACTTTGCAACTATCTTTGCTGAATGTTACTGAGAAATTGCCCACACTGCTTCAGGTTTCTGCCGGCCGAGGTTAGTGGAAAGATAACGTGAAGACACATTTCAGGAAGTCTTATTAGAAGCACCTTAAAATATATTGATTGGTTTTCTAATTAAAACATAACTGGAGTAAAAGGGGCTCATTAAGTTCTCCGGCCATTTACCGCCAAAGAGACGCTTATGCTTGATTTCGCCTTAGATGGCATCTATGTTCCTTGCTCTCTCCACTACTCACTTCACTTCATTAAGGATTGCCTTTTTAAGAGCTTTCTTTTTCCTTTGGTCAATAATTTCCACTTTATGTTTCCCTTTTAATTAGGATGGACGACTGCGGCCCGGAGACCAGCTTGTTTCTGTGAATAAAGAATCATTGATCGGTGCGCGCTGTGATGAAGCCAAAAGCATTTTAAACAGAGCAAAATTGAGGTAAGGTTTTTTTGTTTTTATTTCAGGTTAATATTGAGTATATTCACTTTAAAGATCTTTAGGATTTTCAAAAAATGAACCCTTGTAGTGGGGCTACCCCTAAGTTGCAAGGGTTAAGTGCTCATTTTGGTCTAGGTACAAAAATACAGAAATACTCGCCTGATCCTCGGCCCTGCAGCAGCGACTGCTCACCGCTGTGAAATGTCCTCCCGTCGAATGGACTGCATAGATGTCATGAGTCCTTAGACCACCGGAGTTTGGGGTAGAAGAGGATGCATGGATTTGTCTAGCAGCTAGGTAGGACCGAGAATCGGATGAAAATATCTTCTTTATTTTCACCCCTAGACTAAAACGAGTACTTAACCACTTGAAGTCCGGGGTGTTAAACCCCCTTCCCATTCAGGCCATACGGTACTTTGACTGACATTTATTCCGTCATGCAACGCTGTACTGAAATTCATTTTATACCCTTTTTTTGGGGACAGATAGAGCTTTCTTTTGGTGGTATTTAATCACCACTGGGGGGGTTTTATTTTTTACTATATTAAGGAAAATGTACAGAATAGAAAAAAAAAACTGTTTCCCCTATATTAAATTCTAAAACAATCCTGGTGCCCTCCCGACCCGGTCCCGGGCCGCAGAAGGGGTAGCGGATCCCGGGATTGAAGGTGAGGGGGCAGGAAAAAAATGCCGTCTGGAGACAGCAACCCGCTGATGCGGGTCCGCCATCCGTTTTTTCTTAACGGGCGGACGGCAAGATGTTAAAGGAGATCTATGAGGTGAATAGTTTACACTCATCCTCATAGTTAGAGCCGATGTGTGACAATGAAACTGTCACAGGTCTGCTCTATGGAGCGGGAAGTGAGCGAACACATACTGTCGCTCGCTCACTTCCCGATCATCTCCTGGCAGAAAGCGGTGCACTCCCCGCAGGCATTCCCCCCTCCCCTCTCTGATCCTCCAGCACTGACTGGAGGAACGGACAGGAGAGGGGTTGAACACAGCTGGCTCTGCCTCTAGATAGGCAGAGCTCGCTGTCAATCAGCCAGCTGGGTGGATCTCAACAGTATTGTTGGGATCTGTCCCGGCTGCGGCGCTCTTAGTATATGGCGGGCAATAGCTTTGGCTCATGGAAGGACGGTAGTATATGTCCTCCCGTGACCCTAAAGAGAACTATGGGATTAAAAGGTTACCCCATAGTTTTCTTTTAGGCCTTGCAGTGAGGGGGTAGCGCAACTGCAAGGGTTAATCTTAAAAAATCCTGGGGTTCTTCTTGAAGCCTCATTAATACTTGAGCGTGGGTGTTTTTGGGCAATTTTCAGGCTTTTTTTTTTGGCATGTGTCTTTGAAGCATTTTCCATGTGTTTTGAGGCTTCAGACATTTTGACCAATGAAAGCATTATCCTCCATGACATCATAGGTCGTCATCATCCTTGTATCTGCTTCCTGGTTTCTCTGCGTTGTATCTTGTGCTATCTGAGCTCCCAATTCCGGAAGGCTTCACTCCCATTCTCTCCCCATTCCCTCTGCCACTCCCTTTTGTTCACAGGCTTGAGATTGCTAGAAGGAGAGCAGCTGTTAGACGCACAAATGTGCTAAAATGCTTGTGTCACACATCTAATAAACCAAGAATGTGTGGTTCTGCCCCACAAAAGCCTTATGTAATGATTTGCATGATAAGCGGTAGCAAAGCGCTCAGGTGAGAATGGGCACCATTGAATATAATGGGAATCTTCACGTTGAGCATTGTCGTGCTGCGGGAAATGGATGACACATCGCTCAGGTGTGAATGGGGGCCGATAATGGACTTCTGGCACCGATAGAAACAGACGTGTATTCATTGAACATTAGTTAATGCATTTTTTAAAGCAGCCCTTGTGAGTTTCTGAATTTGTAATGATATCTGCTGCTTGTAATCTCCTGTAGCGTAGAACTCCTTTTGGGAGATGGGTGCAGCTCTAGGAGCCAATTAGGTGTACAATTACGAATAGAACATGCTAATAGGAAGAGAGAGCAGATAGATGACCTCATCAGCCTACCGATACTCTTTTACTGGTTCAGGGGTGGGGGGGTGACCTTGCTATATTTCCTAACTGCTGCCGTTGGGAAAAGACAGGTCACCAGGCAAGCTGTGCTTTGTGGCAGAGCTGTGTAAATTTAGTACCAGATGGGCAGATATACAAATCCTTTGGAAGGTAAAACGCCTCCCTTTTATATATTTTATCTGATTTATATTGCTGTTTGCCTGCACTTCAGCTTTAAATCTTATCAGCTAAATTATGCACTGCGTTGGGGGAAGGCAGAGAGAGACATTGACTTCTAGTATCATTAAAGAGAACCTGTGTCGTGGATATGGACATATACAGTATGTATTGTCTTTGCAAGCAGTAAAAGAAAGCCTTAAATGACCTATGTAGCTGTGGATACTGTGGAACAATTCATCCTCAAAGTTTACAGAAGGTGCCCTTAAGTCGTTCAGGTTGTTATCTCAGCAGCTTAGATTTCCCTTCTATATCTTCTAAAGCACCTGCTCTGTTTACATTAGAGATTAGAAGGCTGAAAGGCTGCCATGGCTGGGAAGTGGGAGCTGAGCTGCTGAGTCATTGCAGGGGGAAAATGAGCTTCCAAGTCACTGATGAAAGAGGGGGGCCAAGGGGAGCTGAGCCTCAGAGCCACTGCATGGGGGGGACTGACCTGCTGAGTTACTGCATAGAGAGGGGAGCAGCCAGGGCTGAGCTGATAATTTGATGCTGGGGGATAGGGGGAGCTAACCTGCTGAGACACTACTGGGAGAGGGGAGCAAACCTGCTGAGACGCTGCTGGGAGACGGGAGCTAACCTTCTGAGACGCTGTTGAGAGAGGGGAGCTAACCTGCTGAGACGCAGCTGGGAGAGGGGAGCTAACCTGCTGAGACGCTGCTGGGAAAGGGGAGCTAACCTGCTGAGACGCTGCTGGGAGAGGGGAGCTAACCTTCTGAGATGCTGCTGGGAGAAGGGAGCTAACCTGCTGAGACACTGCTAGGTGAGGGGAGCTAACCTGCTGAGACGCTGCTGCGAAAGGGGAGCTAACCTGCTGAGACGCTGCTGGGAGAGGGGAGCTAACCTGCTGAGACGCTGCTGGGAGAGGGGAGCAAACCTGCTGAGACGCTGCTGGGAGAGGGGAGCAAACCTGCTGAGACGCTGCTGGGAGAGGGTTCCTTTTAGGCACTCTGTCTCTAGAACTTCTAGGGAGTAGTACAGAGGAAGGCGGAGAAGTCCTTTTTACATGTATATGTAAATTGCCGCTTGAGCTACTGAGTGCTGAAAACAGGTTTTAGCAATAAGCAATCCAATCGTATAAATCCTAGTTACCTAAAAAAAGTTGTAAAATTGTTTCTTTTTTTCCCCCTGATCATAAAGAAAACCTATACAAAACCATTCTTCTACGTTTCCTTTCATGCTTGCAGGAAGGGTGCTTGCTGGGAAATTGCCTTCATCAGACCGGGAGACACCCCTTCAGGCTCATCATCACTGATACAGAATGATCAGAAGCCAAGGGACATCATACCGAGGATGTCTTCCACTCCACATACCTCGGGGACCTGTGAGCCTGTACGTACAGCAAGGTCCCATCTGTAGATTACAACTTTTAAAGCTCAGTAGATTTTTTTGCTGTTTTTAATTTTTGTAGCTATGTGTGGTTGCAGAATACTGTCATACAAATAGTGTATCCCAGGGGTCGGCAGCCTCGGCCCTCCAGCTGTTGAGGAACTGCAAGTCCCATAGGGCATTGCAAGACACTGACAGCCACAGACATGACTCCTAGAGGCAGAATCATGATGGGATTTGGAGTTTCACCACTGCTGGAGTGCTGAGGTTGCCTACCCCTGGTATATACAGTTACCCTTTGGCAACAAGTAACATCTGAATATTTGTATAAGTCACACTCACTTCATTAGGAATAAAATACAAGGCTGGTGTATCCACTGCCAGCCATAATCCAGTGCAGGTCTGCCATCGCGGCCCGGACAGAATCGACACTTTGTCCGTGTCTGGACCGCGGTCCGCCATTTTTAGTGTTGCTCGCTGTAGAGTCTTTTTCTCTCTCTCTCTCTCTCTGAACTACTCACACTTCTGGATATTATTTAGCATGTGATTGACTCCTCTTCACCCATGTGACCGCACCGGTGCCTCGTGATTGGCCCAATAGGTTCATGGGAGCAGGAAAGGAGTGTATTGCCTTGATTCTGTTATCCAAATGCTACTACATGTAGTAACCTTCTCGCAGGGTTTCTGGGTAGGACTGCAGCCTTGGGTCATGTGATTCTAAACTCGATTAGAATTACCTGAACTGCACGATCACAAAGCTCATACACTGGTGCACCAGATTGGTGATAGTAAGGTGAACTGGCGGATTCTAGCAACCTCTGTATGGGAAGCAGGAATTCCAGACATAACCCCGGTTGGCATCCCAGCGCTGATTTTCAGTTTTTTCCGTAGTGCACCTTTAACGCTAAGCAATCGTTATACTTTTCCTACACAGAGTTCTAACGCCCGCTTCCATTCTCTTTGCACAGGGTCAGAGTGGACATATTAAAGATTTGCGCTTCTCTCCCTTGGACCAGAGCCTCTCAGACACATCTGCACCAGGTAACCTCCTGTGGACGATTTTCCCACTTTTAATGTCTCCGCCGTCTTGTAGAAAGCACATTTCGTAATGCGTGTTTTATGGGCCGCACAAAAGACGCGGGCACCTCTTTAGAAAAAGCGGATAAAAGGCGGCTGAATGAGATGTCAGAGGGTTCGCAAAATAAGGCCCTCCAGCAGACCTCTTACAGCCGAGAGGTTTGAAATGACTGGGATGAGACGGCCGAGCATTCTTCAAGTAATCAATAGATCTCACAGAAGACACATAATGAACAGACGTCTCTATCATCAAGTGAGATTAGGTTACCATGGCGGCAGCGTGCTTTCAATTTAATTCCGCCTTCAAGTAGATTGCTTTTTTTTTCCCCCCTTTTTAATGCAGAGCATGGATGGTGCGTGCAAAGGTTAGGGCAGCAGCAGGCAAGTGCTACATTGTCTGCTGGGAAGCCTTTCTCTAGAATGGAGCTTTTTAAGTAGATGTAAACCCTAAATGAACAACAATCGTGAATGCATCTAATAAATCATATTTTTTAGTTATACTTTTTTATTGCTGATCTCATGAACCCTCTTTGCATCCACTTTTTGTCTACATGCACTACAGCCATAGCTGCATGGAATTTCTTATGGCGGGTTTCCTGATAGCCCATGATGTGTTTGGAAATGGCCATGGGTATTCTTCACCTGTGTGACAGGGTGACAACACAGGATCACAATTAGGGGACGAGGGAGAATGTGGTCACCATAGAAAAGGAAGTTTCTGAAAAAGGACCCTCAGTGTAGGATCACCAGGGACTGGTTTAATGAAAGCTGCATTTTGTCACAGAGTGACTTCTGCGCGGCCCCATTGATTTTCAATGGGGTACATCCGCGCAGAAAAAGGGTACATGTACCTTTTTTTTTTTTTAGATACATGACGCGCGGCTGTTTTAGCCGCGATCTTGTTTGGATGCTCGGGTAGAATCGCGGCGGTAAACCGTGCGATCCACCCGGCGCGACTGGGGTGCCATTAAAAAATAATGAAATCTGGTGCTGCCAACCAAGGAAAGTCCTTACCTGTAGGTGGTGCTTCTCTTCCAGGTTAAATGACACCCAGCATCGTTTACCCAGGCTGTCATGTTTTACACCCTGTGGGTGGGTCAATATTGTTTATATTTTATGGCCATTGGACATTATGTGTGAGTGCCGTTTAATGCAGCAATAAGGAACCGGGCACCGCTGCCGGTTCTTTCTAAAGTGAGCTCACAGGACCCGCAAAAGGACTCACAGGACAGCACTCTTGGAAAAAAATATTTTTTTTTGCTTTCCTTTTTAACAAAGTAAGTGTGAGAGAGGGGGGCGGCGTGATGCTAGTGGGGGGACCGGGCCCCTACAAGCCGGAGATGGGCTTTTAACTCTTACACAATACAGTTATGAGTTAATGCTCAGATAGGCCACTTAATCACATTATCCATGGCCGCCTCTGTATATTCTATTCCTGCGATGACCTTTAGAAGCCTCAGTCATAAAAGCGTTGATTGACTCTTCCAATCAGATGATTAGCTGTTGAGCAGGAAACGTCAAGCTGCATTGAATTAACATTAGGCTCTGTAATTAACTCACACCCTGGTGTTTGTTGTTTACAGTTCCTCATCAGGGACCCCGCCGGGAAAAGTTGATTCCCTTCACTCCTGATGTCCGGCTGAAAGTGGAAGCTCTGGAAATGGTAAGACGCTAATATGACGATGTGTGGAATCATAATTTGTACAATATTCTCTACACTCAGTGGCTGCTATATTCCATTTACCTGCTTGGTGCCGAAAGAAAGGTTCACACTGAAGGTATGTGTGGGCATTTAAATGATACCCGGCTGTTTAAAAAACCTTTAGGCCTCACATGAGCGTGCACCCTTAGAGATGTACAGGCAGCTGCTCGCAACTACACGTGTGACCCAGAAACAATCCTGCATGACCACTATGTGATAATATGCAAACTTGTCAATAAAGGACGTATTACATAGTTTCACAGTATTTGGGGTTGAATAAAGACATACGTCCATCAAGTCCAACCCATATAGGTCCACGCATCATCTCATTCTTAGGAATACTGAATATCCCTGAATATTACGGTCCCTCAGGAAATCGGCCAAAAGTTTCTTGAACAATTCCACACTCTTAGCTGAAATCACTGCCGGTGAGTTCCAGACCCTAACCGCTCTTACCGTGAAGAACCCCCTTTGCCCCTTGTGCTGGAATTTTTTCTCCACCAACTTTAGGTGGTGGCCTCTAGTCTTTGTAATTAATCTTAAAGAGTTTGTTGCCAATGTTGCTGTCACCATTGAACATCTTGTACATGAAAATCATATCCCCCCTTAATCTCCTTACTTCCGGCATGAACATGTTTAAGTTCAGTAGCCTTGTCTCATAGCTCTGGTCCTCCATTCCCCTAATTAGTTTGGTTGCCCTCCGCTGGACTCTCTCCAGTTCAAGGACATCCCTTCTCAGTGTTCTTCAGTGATTTTGGAGTGCCTGTTTCCTATTTCCTCCTTTTCTGATACAGCACCATCCGTTGGTCACTGCTGCACCCATCACTCTCTTGACAAACAAGCGTGCAATGGGTTTATGGACTTCTTACACACTACACCCGTCCCTCCCGTGAGCAGGTACGGCATGCACACCCATGTGAATGAGGCCTTACTGACACCATACACTATGGGGCTTAGGATTTCACGCAGGAGTTGGTGGTAAAAACAGGCAGATGATCTGTGTTTTTACCGTTCCCTGACCGCCCACCTAAAAATAATAACATGACGGTTGCTCAGGACCACACACATTGCAGCCGTTGCTTTTCAGCATGGCAATTTTAACTCTGCATGTCAGGTTTGATAGGCTGGTTTTGAAGTCAACACACAACTGATTTAAAAAATCAGTCTGATTGTAAAATTCTCCTTGAAACGAAATAAAAAACAGGCATTTAGTAAACGGCAGTATCGCTTCCTGCACACTGCCGCTCAGCTGAGAGAACCAAGGTGGTTTGGCGATAGCACGTGCAACCCATGTGAAAGAGCCCTGGCTGCCTCTGGCCTCTACGATTTTTTAGTCACTCAGCCGCTGCAAGCATACTCCTAATCTGCATACTTGTTACTAGCCATTGACTGAAACCAATGGATCATGATGACCGCTGGGGATCTGGTATTTAAGAAGATGGTTAGTAATAATTGCATCCATACTTCTTCAGTATAGGTTTTTTAAGCTGCTTAATGTGTATTAAGAAAACATTCCCCACTCCTCCACTAGCAAAAGAACCTGTGACCTCTGTGTAAGCTTTGACTAGCTCTAGCTGGAGCTTACACAGGTACTGTACTGTGTACACATGGGCTGCCCCCATTTGACTAGCGCTGTCCCCATTTTGACATGGGCTGCCCCCATTTGACTAGCGCTGTCACATGAGAGGAATTTCAGTGAGTCGCATGCTCCTCGTACCTGGAAGTACTTTGTTTTTGTTTTTTCACTTCCTGTGTCTGAACAGAACGAAGGGTAAATAAAGGCAGTGTATGTCCTGCTGGGGTCCCGGACATTAAAAAAAACCTGTTGCTTTGATCAGCATGGGCATGTGGTACGTATTCTGTTGTAGCAAAATGAAACCCATTGTTTTTTTCTATGTGTTTCCGCAGGCACTACATTTTCTTGGAATAAGCCCAACGGAGGAACAGAAACGTTTATTAAGATCACGTGTACAGATGGATGCCAATGGAACCGTGTCATATGGAGGTGATTACAATTGTCATTTGGTGTTTTCCTGTTATATCACACAGCTGTTTTTAAAGTGACACTAAACTCAGGAGTAAAATCTTAAAAATACATTCAGGTACCCTAACTATTCACACAAATGTATCTTATTTGTGTATCACTCGGCTGTAGATCCTCAAATCATCTCTGAATTGGTGCTGACACTGTCCTTCCTTTTGGAGGGGGCTACTCTTGTTCCCCATGGTCCCTGTGTTTGTTGTTAAGTAGTCACCGCTCCAAGCTCGCTCCTGTGATGGACTACAATCTCAATATAAATTAGTAAACTAAACATGAGATTGTATTCCATCACAGGAGTGAGCTTGGAGTGGTGACTACTTTACAACACACACAGGGACCATGAGGAACAAAAGCAGCCCCCCTCCAGAAGGAAGGACAGTGAGTACATCCTGATTGGGAAGGGGCGAGCGTGTCCTGATTGGGAAGGGGCGAGCGTGTCCTGATTGGGAAGGGGCGAGCGTGTGCTGATTGGGAAGGGGCGAGCGTGTCCTGATTGGGAAGGGGCGAGCGTGTCCTGATTGGGAAGGGGCGAGTGTGTCCTGATTGGGAAGGGGCGAGTGTGTCCTGATTGGGAAGGGGCGAGGGTGTCCTGATTGGGAAGGGGCGAGTGTGTGCTGCTGGGGAGAGGGGCATTAAAACTAACCCGTGCTTTGCCCTGCATATGCAAGGTTCAGGTTTGCTTTAAGCAAAGGACTATGGAAAAATGTTAGCTGGCTGTACTCCGTAAATTTGTTTTCAAGCCATTTGTTTTAGTTTACGTCAAGCTTTCACATTCCTGAAACATCAGGCCAGAACTACCATTTCTATTTTTACTCTTTTTAGACTTTGTGCGGGTAAGCAAAGAGATGTTTAACCTTCAGCTAGAGGACAAAGACTTGGGGCACCTATTGAAAATCCACGAAGGCACACGTTTATTGGACCTGGCCACAAATCAGGTGAACTTCCTCTATCATATGCTCATTTCAGCAAATTATCTTGAACCTCGTTTTGCCTAAAATATATTAAAGCAGAACTCTAGTTAAAATGGTATTAACGCTTGGAGTGGTGCTACCTGCGTATTGCAAGAGTTGAGTTCTTTTTGCCTAGGGTAAAAAAAAAAAAAAGTTATATTCACCCTATCCTTAGAGCCGACTTGCTCTTAGACCAGACCCTGGAGTCTCTGTCCCGCTCCACTGCTGCTGTCTAAGGATTGAGTCATCACTTTCTATACACTGTGTATGAGGCTTGAGGATGCCAAGGGACATCCCATCGCTGCAGGGGTCTAAGGTCCCTGAGTCATCACATTCTATACATAGTGTGTAAGATGTGAGGACGCCGAGGGACATAACATGGCTGCAGGGGTCGAAGCTCCCTGATTCATGACAATCTATACACTGTGTATAAGATGTGAGGATGCCGAGGGACATACCGTCACTGCAGCTGTCTAAGATCCTTGAGTCATCACATTCTATACACAGTGTATAAGATGTGAGGACGCCGAGGGACACACCATAGCTGCAGCTGTCTAAGATCCTTGAGTCATCACATTCTATACACAGTGTATAAGATGTGAGGACGCCGAGGGACACACCATAGCTGCAGCTGTCTAAGATCCTTGAGTCATCACATTCTATCCACTGTGTATAAGATGTGAGGACGCCGAGGGACACACCATAGCTGCAGCTGTCTAAGATCCTTGAGTCATCACATTCTATCCACTGTGTATAAGATGTGAGGACGCCGAGGGACATACCATAGCTGCAGCAGTCTAAGGTCCCCGAGTCATCACATTCTATCCACTGTGTATAAGATGTGAGGACACCAAGGGACATACCATCGCTGCAGCAGAGGAGCAGAGTGGTTGGAAGGAGCTCTGGCACAGCTGGCCGGCTCGGAGTATTGGGTGAGTATAATTTTGCTACTTTTGACCTCGGTGTTACAAAACTAGTACTTAACCCTTGCAGTGCAGGGGTAGCTCCACTGTAAGGGTTAGCAATTCTTAACCGGAGTTGTTCTTTAAATAAAAAAAAAGAATGTACAATAAAGTGTCATTATTTCCCTAAACCATGTTGAGTATTGGATCCAGGATCTATTGAGTGCTGGGGGGAATGCCTCCGCCAGCCTCATCTTGCAGGAATTGTAAACCAGACTCACTTTCTGGGTAAAAGTTTTGTTACAAGTTTTTAAAATAAATGATGTGTCCTTGTGATTCTACCGGAACAGACTGCTGCCCAACATGCATTCTGAATATCTCGGTTCATGCTGTTTTCAGACATATTTATCCATCTGTGTAGCTTGTTGCCTAACAAACAAGCAAGCGTTTTGAGGGAACATGATACAGGATTCCTGGCGAGATCAGAACTGAATTATTTTGAATTTGCGGCTTCTAAAAATGTTCTCATGGGAACGAGTATTGTTCAGAAAGTAGAAGACTCGGCTCAAGTGTTTTACTTTTTAAACATCCCTGGGCACTATGGCTCAAAAACGTCTTAAAGAAGTGTATTAAGGAGCAGTAGTTGTTGTTGCTCCAATAAACCCAATCACATTTTGACATTTACTGTTCAATGCTGTTGCTTTGTCCTTAATGAAAATGTATTTCCATCAGCTAACTTCTGACCAGATCAGGTGACGGTCTCATGTCTGTATCTGCAGCAAGCATTCACTGCACAGCCGTTAAGATAGGTAGTACAGAGAGCTGCTTTCCGCTTCTCCCTCCCTGCTCCTGTCTCCATTCAGCTAGGTGGCTATGGATATTAGAGAATGTTTGACCACTGCAGCCATTTATGTGTCTAGGCACATCTGTGATTCTGTTTGGAGATCCTTGGCTAAGTAAGGGCCCGTGTCAACGGTCTTTTGTTCACATTTAGGACTGCTACTCTTTCCAAGGGCTTGCAAAGGCTGCTTAAATGCTTCAGGACCACTCTCCGTAAAAAAAAAACATTCTGACCTGAAGCGGTTATACCAAGAACATGGCTGTTGCTGCTGATCCATTAGATCGCTTCTATGGTGCGGCACTGTGTTCCCCCCCCCCCTCCCCCGCCGGCTTCCCCGGGCTCCGCTGTCCCCTGTGC